TCACACTGTTTTCTGATTGGAGAAAGTATCAAAACGTGTCTGTTTACCAAAGAATTGACACAATGCAATTAAAACCAATTGTTTCTGGATCACAAATCCACACAGACAAATTGATGCCAGATTTAAAAAAAAAAAAAAAGAATACAGTTTGTATATTTTGCTAAAAACAAAACGGAGGATTTCCCACTTTATGCACTGCAACCCAATCAAATCTAAATGTGTTTCAAAGGCACTCAGCATGCTGCACCACAGAAAGGAAATAACTCCATTACAAAAGTTGTTTTAGTTTTTAAGGCAGATCATCACTTGTTAGTTATACCGGTGTGTCTCAAAGGACTTTCTGCCTGTTATTAGGTCAAATCTGGAACCACTTTCCTCAATGGAAGCAAAAGGAGGAAGGAGAGTGATGTGATTGGTTAGACTGTCTAATAAACTGACTTGATGAACAGTGGGGCAGAAGCAAAGAGGAACTGCCTAAAGGTATCGGGTAAAATGTAAACAAACTCAGTTATTGGAGGGATTATCAAGATAGCTTCCACATTACACAAACTTCCATGTGTGTGTGGGTTCACGTAACGATTTTTACTTAGCCCAAGTTTAGGATTTTTTAGCATATGGACCAAGTGTTAGAATGGAAAGCAAAAACAAGTCCACAGAAGCTCAGTTTAAATTGATGCAATGTTCTCTTAAGTGTCAAAAAAGGACCGTGCGTGTGTGTGTGTGAACTAAGTTGCGTGCAGACACGCAAGCTGCCCTGCATTTGTCAGTAACCATCCAGACTGCATCAGTGCATTCATGTGTGTGCGTGTCTCCCATGAATTCTGGGTCACAATAACAGCTGGGGGAACATTGCCTGGACAGTAACATTTCATTGGCTGTCACATTCTCACGCCTGCGTTGGTATTGGCTAGAAATTTACTACTGTATCCATGGTAGCATGGATGTAAACAAAAGCAAGTAAGACACACTGGTTCGCTTTTGAGTTTTGTGACACAAGCCGGGCATCTAAAAATGTCTTAAAATGCTCTAAATGCTTTTCTGGCAATGGCAGAACATACAAAGTGAATGAAAACAGTGAGAATACACAAAATATCAAACAGGTTAAAAGTAAAACACTATAGATCAAGGAGTCTGACTTTTAAGGAACATTTTGCAGACTGCTTAGATGTAAACCTTGCTATTGGTCTGCAACTCTTTGAGAAGCACCTCTTTGGTTCAAAATCATCATTCATTCATTCACCCTTTATTTATACAGGTTAATCCCATTGAGCCTTGGGGACTCATTCACAAGAGAGACCTGATTACTTTTACATCACTATTTGTTATGGACAAAATAAATACTGTAGTAAAATAATATGTTATTTCATTAATAAAAACATGACTACTCCAGCAGAAAACACAGGATAATAATAATAATACATAATAACATACAATAAACCAAATGAGAACAAATGAGGCCAACAGACTCAAGTTTCTGACAAAGAACTGAACGAGGTGTCAGAGTACCTGCGGGTTGAATAGTCGAGCGGCAGCAAGTGAGTTCACAAGAATCAGATCAGATGGAGCAAAATGAGAGAAAAACCAGAGAAACTGAGAACAAGATGTCACACACACTAAAGTGCCAGACTGATTCACAACGTGATCCCACAGGTTAAAGAGCTAAACAAATGAGCAAGACGCAGAAATGAACACAAAACAGGAACCAGATCCATTAATGTTTTATGGTTTCTGTCTGTTAAAATGTTCATTTTTAGGTGCCCAGTAGCATCAGAATAATTTGTAATGTGTGTGTGTGTGTGTGTGGAGGGGGGGGGGGGGGGGACACACGGGGGCTGGGGGATCCCTTGGGTTGAATTTTGAATAAAGTAGATGCCATTTCTGCATTTTGGTGTATTTTAACAGGTTGTTAAACATCCATGTTTGCCAATAACTCTTTTAGAGAGTTTGGCACAACAAGAAATAGCCTGACCAACAGCTCTCCTTGTGTGAATAGCGAGCACTCTCTACTTCTCTCACCCCCCCCCCCCCCCCCCGCCACACACATCGAAAACTTCTGGAACTAACATAACGCTAAGCTAGCTGCGCGCGATACAGATAGCTAGGATGTTAGCTAAGATGCTACAGACGTAGCACTCTGCTTCTCTCACACATCCTACCATCCTAACCCCCCCACCCCCATCAACAACTGCCCGCATTAACGTGGCACTAAGCTAGCACGCAAAACAGGTGTCTCCCCCTCCTCCCCCCATGAGCGCCGTGCCAAGACAGATGACCGAGGAGAAACGCTGCTTGCCATGTGGAGTTGGTGTAGGTAACCAGGAAAACCCGGACTGTTTTTTTAGTGGTCTGAGTATTTTATTAATCAAGGGGAATGGATTTGTTCACGAAGAAATATAAGCAGCACTGGGTGAACTGATATTTCATGGTTTGGATTGGAAGAATTGTAAAAAAAATCAATGTGCCTAAATAAATCTTAAATAAACTTCAGGTTATTAAAGTAAAGACTGACACTCCAGAAAAACATCAAATAACTGGTGATTCAAGACTTTCCCATTGAACTCCATGCTTCACCATGAAGCACACATACTCTCTCACACACACAACACACACACAGTCACCCAGAAAAATCACCCACACAACCAGACATTCAGCTGCACCTTCCAGGAAAACAAGATCTTGTTAGCAGTATGACAACAGCTTGCATGTTCCAAATGTCTCTGTTGTTGATGCCAGGCAGGGTTAGACAGAAACACAAACATATAAAGTTAGAAACACATTATTTAAAACCCTCTAAAATCTATAATTTTCTTTTGAGTTGGTTGGTGGTAATGCAATAATGATAAATAAAACACATAGTGCATACACTTAAACTAAACATAAACTAATATGCTTGTGAGGAGCACTTTTCTTTGAAATAAACAATGATTTGCAGAACAGAATGATCTTGCTTTGAGAGAGATCGTAAATGTTTGTGAACAGGAACTGCTATACCGATGACATTTCTCCCCTATAAATAACTGTGATCTGTTAAAATTGCAAAGGTAATAAAGCGCATGATTGAATTAGAATTTAGAACAGAACATCTTGTAATGTGTCTAAAATAGTGATCCAAAGGATACAAAGGAAAAACAAAATAGTAAATCTTTCAGATAATTTTTTTTTTCATATCTGGGAAGTTTACAGAGTTAAAATAATTCAGTTGCTGCACAATAATTCTTCTTTTTTTGTGTGTGTGTGTCTATGTTTTTCCTTCTCTCCTTGGGGGTGCTGGGGTGTGAACACTGACACCCTGCCTAGTTTTAGGTCCTTCGTGTGGTCATGTGCAAAGCGAGCGCACACTCAAACGCTCTAGAAATCCCCAAAAGGCTGGTGCCGGCAAAGTGAGAAACACCAACAACCACACGTGTTGTGTTAGTAACCTCAGCCCTGTGTGTGTGTGTGTGAACGTGTGCATGTGTGTGTTTGTCTCATGGGAACAGGGCTCAGGACTTTATTAAGGAGGCATGTGTGGAATGCTTTCAGAGAGAACAGGACAAGATGGCTGTGGGGCTGCCACTACGCGCCTCTCTGTCTCACTTGCCCTTGATCTCGATTGGTCTCGCTTTGGCTGACCCATGGCGGCGTGAAGGGGAGCCATGTCAGACACACACACACACACACACACAGAGTGCCATGACGTGAAGAAATAACCTGCCCGGACAGGCTGGAGGGCTCTCAGGGGTCCTCTGCTGTGTCTCTAGATGCTTCGTTTACGTCTCTACTGACACCAAGGAGATAAATGAAGCTTCACCTAATGAAACACGTTTATTCCTTTTGTACTTTGTAATACAATTAATAAACCCCATGTTTTTGTCAGTATTTTTCACAGTCTGGTGTAATCACCAAAATGAAATCCTTTAAGAACAAAAAAACCATGTCCATAAATTAATGGTAACCAACACTGGTCCCTGAGGACCACCTTCCTGCATGTTTCAGATATTTCTTTGCTTCAGCACACCTGATTTGAATCAATGGGTGATGAACTGGCAGAACATGAGATGATTCAACCATTTAATCTGGTGTGTTGGAGCAAGGAAACAAGTAAATTATGCTGGATGATGGCCCTCGAGGACCAGGATAGGACACTCCAGCCTTATAGTCTAAACCAGGGCTATTCAACTGGCAGCCCAGGGGTCAAATCAGGCCCACGGGTGTGCTCAGTTCAACCCACCAATGGGTTCATTTAAATATAAAACTAGGTTTTAAATTGTAAAAAAAAAAGACTTACTTAATAACAATACTGCTGGATATCTGGCCTCTGCGCTCCTGGCTTAAAGTAACTGTGGCCCCCTGAGCAATTTAGTTGAATAGCCCTGGTCTAAACTACAACCAATCACAGCAGCTGAGCCTGGATTTAAGTCAACAGTCTTTTGTTTTCTTTTTTCTGAAAGTAAATGTGTGCCTCATTTTGTACGAGGCCATTTAAATGGTTTAAACCTCTAACAACTTTTTAAAGTAGGTTACTAACCTCTAAGTTTAAAAAAAAAGTCACCTTTTTAAGGTAAATCTACAGAAGTCAATGGAAGACACAATGAGATATTTTCCCCCATTATAGTATCTTGAGATAACAAAACTTATTTTTTCATGATAATAATTTAATAATACCTTTGTCTTAAGATGACGTTTGCTTCTGCGAAATAATAGGTAAGTATATTTAATATTTGGATCAACTATAGTTAATCTCACATCTGGATTTATTTGAGTTTAAATCACTGATAAACAAAAGTGGTATTTCTTCACCAATTGAAGCTGAAGCTGTCACATCAAGAAGCATCCATCATTGATCGGAGCATTTCTGTTTTTGAGTTGACTACCTAAAACTAGCTTCCTTATCTTGAGCTCACAGAATCAACTTGTGATCTTGAAAAAAAACAACAACATCAAGATCAAAAACGGCAGCTGTGGCTGTTCTCAGCTTCTGTAGAAAACTGCCCAAGCAGCGGAAACTGGGATTCCTTTACCTGTTTTGAAGATTTCGTAGCGTAGCGAAAAGCCCGCCCCCTGGTGAGCGTAGTCCGACACGAACTTGATGTGGAGCGAGGGTCCAGATGAGATGATGGGTGCGGGGGCGATGTTGCTGCAATGCTTCCCCAGCAGGTCAGCGTTCTCAGAGTTCCCATCGTGGATCTCCACATAATCGTACCTGCAAGAGACAAACACGGGATCATGAGGAGCCAACTTCACATCACCAAAAACTGATCAGAAATAGATTCCATCATCATCCGTTACTAAAATAAAAAGTGGCTTTATTTTTAGTTTGACTCGAAAGACAGAAGTGCTCAGCTGTTTTTCTGCACGCAAAAACCTGTGAAGGCTGAAACATGAACCAAAAAATGACAACCAGCTACACTCAGTGAAAATAAACAGGATGCAGAGAATTCAACAATGTTCAGTCATGTCATCTGGACGGTTTCTTGTTTTGCTGAGATGTTTCGTCTTTCATCCAAAGGACTTCTTCAATCTGAGGAGCCACCAAACAAACTGAGTCCCAAAAACATCACTCTCCATAGTGGGGGGAAAAAACAGTTTGCTGGTGATAAGATGGCCTCCGAGCCTCCTCAGCAAAAAATAGAAACCATCCAGATGACCTGACTGAACATTGTTGGATTTATACCTGGATTATTGAGCATGGACTTTGGTGTTTTGAACCATTTCGGCATGGCTGCCCCAGAGGAGTTGACAGGGGGAGAGTGCCCCAGAGGCCATCTTATCACCAGCAAATTGTTTTATTTCCGCTATGGGAGTATGCTCTTTGTGGGACTCAGTTTGTTTGGTGGCTCCTCAGATTGAAGAAGTCCTTTGGATGACGGACAAAATGTCTCAGAATAAAAATAAACTGTCCAGATGACCTGACTGAACATTGTTGGATTTTTACCTGGATTAATGAGTATGAACTTTAATGCTGAGACTTGTTTTTTTTGTTATATATAAGGGAGGTACTGACACAAAAAAAACATTTCTATTCTTGTTATTCTTTCTTTTTTTCTGACAACAAATGTTAAGTTTATCTGTGGACTCTCATCAGGAGTGTTGCCTCCGTGTCTGGAGACCAAAGAAACACCTGGCTGCTTCTAAAATAACTTCCTGCGAATCATATCCTGGAGCTAAATGAAAATGGAAGGCTTCAGGTTTGAGCTTGATTTGAACAAGTTCGCTTTCAATTAGGGAACCCATTCAGAGCTGTATACACCATACAGTAAAAAAAAAAAAAAATCATCACTGTGCAACATAAAGCCTTACAATGACCCCCCCAGAGGTAGGTATCAGGTACCACTGGGTAATAAAAGTAAAGCTCCTGATAATGTGTTGCCATGGTGCACACATGTTAAAGACACTGAATATGAACGAGGTGGTAATCTTTTCACTATTGCTCCCTATTATATGCATTAATTCCAAACACAAAAACAAAGTATATGCATTAGCTGAGATTTAAAATGTCACTAAGTTTAAATCTAACACATTTCTAACAAAAATCAAATCATATTTTATTTGATTGTAAATTCAATCTATTCTGAAACCATTGAAGCAGTTTGACCAATAGAGGTTTGATTTTTGTTTTATCCCAGATCTCTTCTTCTCTTTTAGATCTAACTGTTTAAGTTATTAACATATTTGGTCATTTATGCACCAATAAAACTTATGAGGATGTTGTGTCTCCCTTGTCCTCCTCATCATTGATGTAAAAATCTTAATTTCAGACCAGTGGAGCTCTCTGCATCTGCTCCCCCTCTTACATCTCTCATACAGAAAGGCACCAGTAATGAGATTAAGCTGCAGCTCATTCAGGAGGCATGACACGATGAGAGCAGATTACAGCAGATTTTGTTTAACATATCGTTTTGTGATTGTTTGAAGACAAAATTTCAACTACACATTTGATTAATAGCACAGCAACCGCATTAGCTGCCATGATGAAACATTTTCAAAGCAAGATGTGTAATTGTAATGGTTGTTTCATCCTCATGATGGCTTAGTTTTACTGTAAAAGTGACAGAAAAACTCACAACATTTGTGTGTGGATACGTGATACAGCCCACCTCCTGTCACATAACAATAAGACTACAGACAGCAGACGCAAATTAAAGACTAAAGAACAAAGATTGCTTTGTAAAATGCAGCCAAGTGGTAGTGTGACACACTGGAAGGTGTGTGTGTGTGTTTAGGCTACATTTGGCTGTTTGCATCCAGCCTGACAGGTGAGCATCCTCCTAACATAACAGGTCACACACCTCCTTCTCGCCCGGCATGCTTTGTGAGCTAGCACCACATTTAGGATGCAAACCTGTCACTGAAGTGCGAACATGTGTTTGTGCATCTGTCTGAGTGACAGATTCTGTCGTTTTCTGTCATATATTGTCATATCCCCAGAGAACTCCTTGATGTGGTGACAGTTTCTCCCTCCCCTTGTCTGCACTGACATCTTTATCTTACTGCTACTCCACGCTAAAGCACTTCCTCTCATTCTACCTATTTGATCTTTTTTTTTTTTTTTTTGCCTCATTTTGGTCCATTTGTACTTACTGCTCACCAGCAAAGGTGCAAGAGAATTAATGTGGGGGGTGGGATGTTCATTATTTTTTAGCATTAGTAAAATATCTCATAATAAACTGGACAGCTTTTAATGACTCAGAATGTAGTCATTGAATATCTGTCTACAACTGATTGTTTTGAAGTCAACCTGACTTAAAATGGCCACCACAGCTAGTCAATCTTAGCATACCACAAAATAGCTATAACTTATTCATGTTTTCAAAATATAAGCTAAAATTTAGTTGCCTGTAGCAGACAATCATTCCCAAAACATAATCTGAGCACTAATTTACTGTGGAAGTTCTGGTTAAAATGTTGCCATTGGCTGTTAGTCAATTTTTTTCTGTCTGTTAGCAAAATATCTAATGAACCACTAGATATTTAATCACATTTCAAGTCTACAAATGATTAACTTTTTGAAGTCATTGAAATTCAAGATGGTATCACTTGCAGCAACCTTAGAAACCCCAAAATGAGTCATTTTGAAAGACATTAGACTAAAACAGAGCATCATCACCAACACAAAATTCATGTTTTATAAAATGCATATTTTTGCTTAAAGCTTTCAAACTACCAGTTGGCATTAACTTTGCCTGCCTGTCTTCAAAACATATGAATCTCTGGACAGATTCCAACGAAACATTCAGAAAGCAGTCAGCGAATGCACATCACCAAGTCAAAATTTTGAAGGATGAACCCAATTCAAGATGGCCACTACAGTTTAACATTAGCCAACACAGAAATTGCCATATCTTCATCCATTTTACAAATATTGAGTTGAAACTTCATGTGATGAAAGTCATTACAAACACATACTCTGAGCATCACATCTAGTATTATCACAATGTTGCACAAAACTTTTTAAAGGCTCAACCGAGACAACTATAACTTTGTCCCTTCTTAGCTTGAGATGATCTTAGTTTGAATCTTTGGCATGAAAGGTAGCTGATTCAAATTCCTTAAGGAATGCTTGGCTTTTACTTCTGGGCCCCCTTATTGGCGCATTAACACCAGCAGCTTTAAAAATCTCTTCAGCTGCAGAAGGTTTAAAGTTTAACTGGCACGCTGCACATGTAATCAGAGAGTGTGCCTGAAACTCATGCTGCCGTCTCCACACCTTAGACTGACAGAGACAGGTGTGTGTCCCCTCGTGTCTCCCTCCCCTCTGCGCTGAGCTTTTAAAATATAGCACAACAAATCCAACAACTCCTCAGACTTGCAGACACAAACTGTTCACACCGATGTACAGGGGGTCTGTGGTTCTACACACGGGAGGTTGAGCTTTCCAATCTCTGCGTTTTTAACTCAAATCAAGTCAGTTCAGTTTATTTATATAGCACCAAGTCACAACAGAAATCATCTCAGGGCACTGAACAGAAACATTCATATATATATAAAGTAAGTTAATTACACTATTTATCTGAGGAGCAGACTGCTTTGAATTTAATTCAATCACAGACTCATTTTGAGCAAGCATGAAGGCGACAGTGGAAAGGAAAAACTCCCTCATGAGTAAGAAACCTCCAGCAGAACCAGGCTCATGACAAGCGACCATCTGCTTTGACCGGTTGGGTTTGAGAGGAACAGGAACGAGGAACAGATACACAATGGCAGGTCACGAATCACATGTAAAGATAGAAATAGTATCAAATGAAAATTATTCAATTTTAACAATTAATTTAAGGAAATTAGGTCAGTTTGTCCTCCAGTAGTTTATGTTTATGACAGCATAACAAGCCAACCCTAATTATAGGATTAATCAAAAAGGAAAGACTTAAGCCAAGTCTTAAAACTGGACAATGTGTCAGCCTTACGGACAGAAATTGGAAATTGGTTCCACAAGAAAAGAGCCTGATAACTGAAAGCTCATCCTCCCACTCTGCTCTTGGAAACTCTAGGAACCACAAGTAAACCTGCAGTCTAAGAGCAAAGTGCTCCGTTAGGAAAATATGCAACAATAAGATCTGTAATATAAGATGGAGCTAGGTTGTTGAGGGCTTTGTAGGTTAGAAGTAAAATTTTGAATTATATTCTGAATTTGACAGGGAACCAGTGGAGAGAAGCTAAATCTGGAGAGATATGGTCTCTCCTACTAGCTCCCATTAAGACTCTGGCAGCAGCATTATGGATCAACTGGACTTTTTAAAGAAGTTTTGGGACACCCAGATAACAAACCACTGCAACCATTGTTTAGGAGGAACACAGTTTCTTACAAACTGGTTCATCTCATCAGTCCTTTGATCTCTTCTCCACAGATATAACATAATTCTAGTAAAGCATTTTATTGTATAAACTTAGTTTAATCAAACCATTTTTTTAGGAAACTGAGTAAAATGTGTTATTTTGATATCAATATTTATCTGCAGTAAAATGAACTGCCTTTGAAACAAAGACTGGAGGTTGAAACTCTCTAAAATTGAACATATTGGGTGACTCTTATGTAGAAAACCTTTCTGCCTTAGTCATGTGAATGATTAAAATGCTATTTTAACCATTAGGGATGTTTTAACGTGGTTCACAGGGAAGCAAAACTGCACAGTTGGCTCTCTGTCAGGAAAAAGAAAAAAAAAATAGATGTAGTGGTTTCCGCTGAGCCCTCTGACCGTTTACAGA